AATTCACTTAACATATGCAGTTGATAGATTTAAAACCTGGATGTAAATGTGTGTGGGTATCTATTTTCTACCAGTATTGCCATGTTTTAGGTGCAGAACATCTCCCAAAGGCCTCATATGCTCATCGGCAAGGCTTGGAAAAGGTGACTGAATGAATCATGGGGGCACGGCTGACTTGAAAAGGCAGCACTGTGGAGTGACCTGGAAGGGTAATGTCCCTCAAGGCTCCTCCCTTCTCTCTCAGTTTGCTGGTTGCCAAGATGTGAACAGCTTTCCTCTTCCCAGGCTCCTCTGCCATTCGGTTCTGCCTTGAAGCCAGCAGAACAGAACTCTATGAGCCCAAATAAACCTCTAGGCCTTTAAATTGTAGATGTTGGGCATTTTGCTCCAAGGATCAGGAAAGCGACTAGGAAAAGTATCCAATGAGATGGTCTAGGGATAACACATCTATAATGATGAGCACACAGATCATCAAGATTTTCATGGGGGTTTTTTTTGTTTGTTTAGGTACTAAGGATTGAACCAAAGGCCTTCTCACTGAGCTACATCCCCAGCCTTTTTTTTTTTTTTGAGACTAGGTCTCACTCGGATGCTAAGCTGCCCAGGCTGGGATCGAACTTCCAATCCTCCTGCCTCAGCCTCCCAGAGTGCTAGGATTACAGGTGTGCACCATATAACTCAGCTTAAGAGTTTGGCTTCTAAATACCATTCTCCACTGAATGGAACCAAGGACCTAGGAGAAATGACCACCCCCTGGGCTGAGGCAGAAAGTTTAAGATCAATCTGGAACATCTTGTGACAGGAAAAAGATGTACCCAGAAAAAGATGGGGAAAAAAATCAAGATAACTTACAAGTCGTCCTATGGCCAAACCGCCCTGAACATGTGCAATCTTGTCTGATCTTAGAAGCTAAGCAGGGTCAGGCCTGGTTAGTATTTGGATGGGAGAACACACAAACCAGTATGAACAAGGGTTCCTACCAGCCAAAACAGGGGCAATCTGAGAACCAAAATAAATACTAGTTACAGATTCTAGTTCTCTGAGTAACACAGAAACCCAAGTGTCCATACTGTCTTAATCAGTCTGGACTGCTATGCCACAACACCTCCAGCAGGCTAATAGAAAACTGAAACTTGTTGTTCACAGTGACAGAGAGAGCAGACCAAGACCAAAGCATCAGCAGATTTGGTGCCTAGTGAGATAGTGCCTTCTTAGATCCTCATGTAGCAAATAGGAAAGGGTCTAGCAACCACCCTCAAAATAAAACAGCTGGGGAATGTAGCTCAGGGGTCAATCCCCAGGACTGCCAAAAAGCAAACAAACAAAAGTCTACTGAATAACACCTTTTAAGAATATATAGGTCTGGAAAAAAATATATAGATAGATAGACAGATCTGGGCCGGGATTAAGCTCCGTGGCACCACACCTGCCTTGCACATGCAAGGTCCTGAGTTTGATCCCCAGTATCGCAAAAAAAAAAAAGAAAGAAAGAAAGAAAGAAACACAAGATCTAGATGTCTAGGGTTCAAATAAGCATTTACTGGCTACATGACTTTGAGCACATTATGTAACTTCTTTGCCAATTTCCCTACCTGTAATATGGGATTCCTACTGGTTATTGAACTGAGTTAATTATTTAAAGCACTTAGTGTCTGGCATTAAGCAGTCAGCAAGGTATTATCTTATTACTTATTAACTTATTTTACAGATGAAGATGCTAAAGCACTAAAATTAATTAAATCATCTGCTTGAAAACAAAGATGTTGGTTAGGGGAGGAAAGGGTACAGAGGGAGGGAGACAGACATGAACATGGCTGGAATCCTGGGTCCAGTTTCCCAAGTTGCCACTGCTATGAAAGACAGGTGAAGGTACTTCAAACAGTGCTCAGTAAGTATTTCCTTCCTTTCCAAAGACCTGGTTTATATTCACTCACATCCCTAACCTACTTTTTCTAAAAGATTCCATTTAAAAGTGAACTGTATTCAGGGTTGGGGATTTAGCTCAGTGGTTCCAGCGCTTGCCTTGCAAGCGCAAGGTCCGGAGTTCGATCCCCGGTACCAAAAACAAAAAAGTGAACTGTATTTATTGTACCTCTAATCCATCCAAGTAGCCTTACACTAGGAAATTACATTAGAAAACCAAGTAACCTTACATTCATAAAGTGTTCTTTTCCAAGACAACTATTTTTGTAGATCCCATCAGTCAGAAGAGAACTTAAAAGTAACAGAAACAAGAACACTCAATATACCTTTTGGTTACTGAGAAGTCACTTTTATCCTAAATTTATCTGCATAAATTTTCTATACATAAAATACCAGGAGAGGAAAACCACCAAGTCAAGACTTAAATTCCAATTGCAGCCAAGCCAATAATCAGGTTAGCAGTAGACTAGCAACATGAAGTTGGTGGTTTTCTCTTCAGAAAAAAGGTAAATAGGCTGTTATTGCTAGCTCCAAACTAGCTCCAAAATTCTACAGCTTCTTGCACAAACTTGAAAAGGGACAATTCACGATTTCATGTCTCAACGTTTCCTCTGCCTGAACTCTCCTAGTTCCCCTGGCTCTTTTAGAGAACTCTTATTCACCTTTCACTAAATATCACCCATTTCTCCGATTAAAAAAACCTTCCTACAACTTAAAACTGCTCTCTAGAATTGTAACACATCATTATAGATGCTTTTGACACACTGTCTACCCTCTCTGGAGTCCCCACATCTTGCACAGCACCTGACACACAGCAGGTGTTGAGGATATGTTTAGAGACTTGAGTCCACAAAGTTGAGTGAGGTTCCTATGGAGTTTACCCACCATCTGTGAGTCTCACTGACAATATAGAGGCCAGTGTCCAACACAACCCAAGCTTCATCTCAGCCATTTACACATATGCAATGTAAATTTATCCTGAGCCTCTATACAAAAGCTACACAAAGATGTCAGATGATCTGGGCACCTGTGAGGATCATCCAAAGCTATGACTCCCCACTGAAAAATCTCCTTGCTCAACTGTTCCAGAGCAATTATGATCTTCCACACTGCAAAATTTACTGATCTTTAGTAAAGCTCTACTAAAGAAGGGATTTTTGTCTGTCTTGTCATAAACGATACCCGGTGTCTGCGTTAGTGCCTGGTACAGTGAAAGCTTTTTTAATCAATAATTATTTCCTTCTGTCTTCTGAGTCATGACTCATCACCTTACCACCCTATCTCTCCAAACCTTGTTTCCTCTGCTCTTACCAACTTAAGAGTAGCCCTCCCCATAAATTTCCAAGAACTAGAAGAAAATATTTGTTCATAAATCTTAAACTTTCTTTCTCTGCTTTCTATTAGTTCAGAATAATACTTAGGAGAGCCGAGGATTTGGCTCAGTGGTTTCGCCGCCTGCTGCACAAGTGCAAGGACCCGAGCTCGATCTCTGGTACCAAAAAAATAAAAAAATAAAAAGAATAATACTCAGGAAACTATACCAACAAACAAACAAAAAAAAGATAAGATAACCAAAACTTTGTTCTTTCACTTTGATAATGATTATTTCTTTGTGGTCTTCACTTTGGATTTTAAACTACTCATGGACAAAGATCAAAACTGAAAGTGTTTAATTAATGTTTTTGGATTGTCATACATATGGACTTAATGTGTTGACAATGTATTAACTGTAACATGTGGCCTGGCTGAAAATTGTGCCTCAAATAGTGCAAACCCTCGAAGGTGCTATCTACACTAGTTACAGCAAGATGTTCTTAACTAGCTAATATCCTTCAGGAGCAGTGAACTAATCTGCCACATTTCTGAATCTGTTAACTACTGAGCCACATTAAAAAAAATAGGACAGTACTGTATTTGTATTCAGAAAAAAGCACCAAAACCTTCTCCATCTCCTAGCTTCAGCCAAATATGGCTCTTTCCTGCTTCAACCAACTTAGTTTGAGTTCCAAGAGACACAAGCCCATCAGTACAGTCTTGGATATCATCTACAATGCTATTTCAAAGACAGCTTTTAAATTCTTGAGAATAGAACATGAGCAATGTAAGATTACACTTAAGATGAGAAGTTTTAGGCTGAGATGCCCGGATATGCAGATGAGAATTAAAATGTGGAACAGACTTGAAAGTCATTCAGTACTCTCATCTAGGTCTATTTCAATGTGACAAACTAAGAGTCAACTTTTAGGATGAACCAAAGAAAGAACAGCTCAAATACATCAAGCAGGTCGACACAGCCAAGCCCCCCAACCCCGCCCTGCAAGCATACTGGAAACTCACAGAAAGTCTGCCTGGTAGTTTGCTTTCTGTGATAGCTCTGCTTTGCTTAAACACCCTAAAAAGAATTAATATTCTAGATATAAAAATATTCTAGATATGAAAATTAATATGATATAAATTAATATTCTAGATATGATGAAAATAAGGATGAATTAAATTCTGAGGCTTCAGTGACCGATGTAGTAGCTAAACATTACGGGAGGTGGGGAAGGACATCAGAACAGAAAATCTTCAAATGCTGCGTTCTCCACATGAGTAAAGGAGGGTATGCGGTGGGTCTCAACTTGCGAGTTTTTAGGAGCTTTCTAAACATGAGTGAGTCAGGAAGTTATTCTTCGGGATGGAGCCCTTTTGGGGAGGCCCCGAGGCTCATCTGCTGCCCTGCACCTTCGTGTGCCCGGTCTTCTGCCCTTCCCCGCCTGCCGCTGGCCCCAACCACCCGGGCCGCTCCCGGACCTCCGAGAGGTTGAAACCAACTCAGTATGCGCGTTAGGCGATGGCGAAAAGACGGCGCCCACGCCCCGAGAGGCCTACCGCCTGGGCTTCACAGTCAGCCCCATGGCGCTGTCTTTACAATATGAAACCCGTCCTCCGCAGTTTGCGAGGCGGCTTGCGGACCGCCAGTGCCCTCGTCCCTGGGCGGTCACCGGGCGGTCACCGGGCCCAGGCCGGGCGGCGGGGCACCAAGGCCTGGCATTTGCCGGACCGACAAACAAAGGCGGCGCGCCCTGGCTACTTACAACAAGAAGCTCATGTCGGCCACGGGCAGACTGCGCGGCGGGCAGGCGAGGCGGCGGCAGCCGGGAGGCAAAGCACGGGCGAGCCAACGGCGAGGAGCAGCGGAAGCAGCAGCGGCGCCCGGCCAGAAACGGCTGGCCTTGCGAGCTCGGACCACCAGCGCGAGGTATGGAGGGCCGGGCCAGGCGGGCTCTCAAGCCCCGCCCCCGCGAACTCTCGCGAGAGCTGAGGCCCCGCCCCAAGTCATGTCGGGGCGATCGGTGGAGCTCCGCGGGTCCGCTGCTCTAGGAGCGAAAGAGAGGGCTTCGGCTCCCGGGTGCCGGCTCAGAGGCAGAGCCCAGCAGAAGGTCCGGAGGCTATAGAGCCGCTTTCTCCGCTGGCGTTAAGCTGGAGGCGGTTCTCTGGTTGGAGCAGTGTGGCGTTGCTTTGTGGAGGACAAGACAGGAAAGGTGCGACCGATCAGGCTCTGTCCCGGCCGGAGGAGCCGAGCTGGAGGCGGCAGGAAAGCGGAGGGAGCGGGGGCGACACGGACCCCGCGCGACGAGGAACCCGCGCGACGAGGACGGAGCCACCGAAGCTTCTGGAAGCCGCTGACTGCTCTCCCGCGCGTGCGCAGACCTGCAGGCTTGTCGGGTCCGGGAAGGATCGCTTAGGAACGCGCTCCTGCGTGAGTCCCTGCGGCGGTGTCCGTGGGGACAAGAACTGTGAAAACGGAAATGGCCTCCTACACTTAACGACAGCCTCCAGATGCACGAGGAAGGTTTCAAAAACCAAACCAAACTACGCACAGGTCTTACCCAACTCGGGCTTGTCACTCCAAAGGGCAAATGCTGTCGAAGGAGATGCAAATAAGAAATATATTTTATTGCATTTATACACTGTTAGTTTGGTAAAATGATATAAAAATTTTAAGAAATACTGGACTCTTGTGCTACCTCAGAAACAGCAGAGGACATTGGAATACTTTGAAACTTAAAGGTTCAAAAGATACCAGGAAAGGAGGAGAGACGACTTAAAATAATGAAAATAATAGATTTATGGTGTAAAAGTCCTGTGCTCCAGATCTGGATATGGTCCTATTATTACAGTGTGCGATCCTTTAAGGGCTTCTAAAAGAAATTATCATTACCAGGTTAGGAAGAGTAAGTGTGTAATATGTCAGAGACTCCGTTTAGACCCATTGATGATGAAGATTCTGAGCCAGGCATGGTGGCACATGCCTGTAATCCCAGCACTTGCAGGCTGAAGCAGGATGATTATAAATTCAAGGCTATCCTGAACTACATAGTAATACCCTGTCTCAAAAAAATCAAAATAGATAAAATGAGTGTTTGGAATTATTACGTGATCCATAAGATACCTTCCTATTATAAAGTTACATCCTTCAAAAGACTGGTCCACAGTTCTCAGCTGCTCCATGATTAGGCAAAATTCACGTGCATCCCATCACACTGCATCAGGAAAAAGGAGACTGCGGACATCCCTGTTGAGTACTTCTTTGTGACACCACTGGGTAATAAAATTCACATATATTGATTCTAAAAATGTATCATGTTAATAGTACAGTGTCCTAGTAGGTTAGACTTTAAATCAGCAATGACTATCATAAAATTATTCAGTATATTGATAATATTGGGAATTTCAAAGAGGTTATATGCAAATAAAAATTTCAGTATTCTTGCAGTGCAAGGGATTGAACCCACTAAAATTTCAATTTTAAAAAGTTAATTCTTGCCTGGGTGTGGTGGTGCATGCCTGTGATCCCAGCACTTGGGAGGCTGAGGCAATAGGATTGCCATGCCTGAACTACACAGTGAGACCCTGTGTTAAAAATATATATATATATACACACACATTCTGATCAAAATCTCATAGTCCTTGTTTGAGAAACAATATTATTAAAATTTGTATTCTGTCCCTCAAGTTTTTAAAACCTTGAAATTTGACATGGACAGAATAGAATACATGTTCTCAAACGTTTTTTTTTTAGACAGCCTCTCTATGTACTCTAGGCTGACCTTGAATTCACTATATAGCCCAGGGTGGCCTCAAACTCAGCAGTCCTCCTGCCCCTGCCTCCCAAGTGCTGAGATTAAAGGTGTTCAACACCTTGCCCAACAAACATCTTTAAATATTCATTTAAGTTACTTTCTTGTCAAGTTTATTTACATAAAGATAAAAAAACATAAATGTCATACAAAGCTATGAAATAAGCACAATACTGTTTAATGCTGAAAGACAAGAGCCTTAGAGCAGATGAGGTTAAGAACAACCTCTCTGGAGCCAGGGATTTAGCTCAGTGTTTCCGGCACCTGCCTTGCAAGTGCAAGGTCCTGAGTTCAATCTCTGATACCAAAAAAACAAAAAAGAACACTCTCTCTAAGGAGATAATATCTTTACTGAGACTCAAAAGAAGCAGCCAGCCATGCAAAGAGGTAGGGGAAGAACATTTTCTGGTATAGAGAATAACAATGCAAATTCACTAAAACAGAGAGGGCCGGGGGTTTAGCTCAGTGGTTCTGCTCAGTGGTTCTGCCGCCTGCATCTCAAGTGCAAGGTCCTGAGTTTGATCCCCAGTACCAGAAAGAAAAAAAAAAGTCCATAAAACAAGAAGGAGCTTCATATGTCCATGAGGCCAGACACAGAAGGCAGACTGGGACTTCCAGACCTACACAAGTCATTTATATTTTATTTTAAGAGCAACTGAGAAGTCATCAGAGAGATCAGGTAATAAGATAAAATTAAGCAATCCAAATAACATTTTGTTGTTGTCATTCTGAGACAGGCTCTTGCTGTGTAGTTCAGGCTGGTCTTGAACTTACTATGCAGCCCAGGCTGGCCTTGAACTTGTGACAATCCTCCTGCCTCAGCTTCCCAAGTGCTGGGATCACAGACATGCACTACCTTGCCCAGCTAAGAAATTTTTAATCTTGACGTAAAACCAACAGCACCTGGAATTGATTGTCAGCATTAGAGGAGTCAAGCATGATGCCTATGTTTTTGGCTTTAGCAACTGAGGATGATGCTGCCATTGTTGTAATAGGGAAGATGTGAATCATGAATTGAGTAAACCAGAAGTTCTGTCTTGGACATGTGCACTTAGGGATGTCTTTTAGACATCAAAATAGTGATTAAAGGTAAAGTTTTGTCCACTTCATGAAGCCATAGAAAGACCTGAGCTAGACGCATAAATGCAAGAGTCAGCAAGTTCAAAGCCATCAGAAGAGCTTTTTGTTTTGTCTTGTTTTTGGTTTTTGACTCAAAGTCTTGCTATGTTGTTCAGGCTGGCCTTGAACTTACTGTGTAGCCCAGGATGGCCTTGAAGTTACAGAGATCCGCCTGCCTCAGCCTCCCTAGTGCTGGGATTACAGTCATGTGCCACCACATCCAGCTATGAGCTTTTAAAAAGGAATTTATATCCCAAATAAAAGTAGATGAGCAAAGTATAACCTTTAGACTTATGTGTTTCTTCTTTAGTTCTCTTCCCAGAGTAGGACCAGAATCTGATAAAGCCTGAAGACATAATTTACCAATTTATAGGAAAAACAGAGAACAAAAGAAGGCCAATGTGGTGGTACATGTCTGTAATCCTAGCCTCTTGGAAGGATAAAGCAGGAGGATCACAAGTTTGAGGTCAGACTGGGCAATATGGTAAGGTCCTATCTCAAAAAAATTTAAAAAGGGCCAGGGATTTAGCTCAGTGGTTCCTCCGCCTGCCTCATAAGCGCAAGGTCCTGAGTTCTATCCCCCGTAACAAACAATAAATAAAATTTAAAAAAAAAAAAGACTGGGGATGTAGCTCAATGCAAAGGCCCTGTACCTAAAGGAAGAAAAAAGGAAAGGAAAAAAAGTGTAAGAAACTGTTAGCTTTCCATTGCTCTGACAAAATACCTGAAAATTAATTTAAAAGAGGAAAGGTAGCTGGGCATGATAGGACACGCCTGTAATCCCAGCACTCAGGAGGTTTAACCAGGAGAATTGCTGCAAACTCAAGGTCAGCCTGGGATACATAGTGAGTTCAAGGCCAGCCTGCACTATTCAGCAAGACCCTGCCTTAACACCCACTCCTCACCCAGAAAAAAAAAGGTTTATTTTGGCTTGTGGTTTTGGAAGTCTCATTCCATGGTTACTTGGGCTGGTGGTGAACCAGGGCATCAAAAGTCTACAATAGAGCAAGATGCTCAACTCCTGACAGTCAGGAATCGAAAAAGACAAAAAAGTGCCAGGGTCCCAGCACTCTTCCCAAGGGTGTGCCCTCTCTGACCTAGCTTCCTCCCCCGGGGCCTCAACTCCTAGAACAGAGATGGCGAAACTTTTAGAGATGAACTGTAACCTTCTTGCAAGGTGCCAACACTGCAATTAAGCCTGAATACTCAGGTTTTAGTTTAGGAAAGACAACTCACACACTAACATCTTTTGTTTTAAAAGAAAAACAACATGTGTGCCATATGTTCACCAGCACCTCCAGATAACACTAAATTATCTATGAACCAAGCCAGGCCCACTATTAGAATCCTAGAGATTGAAAGAAACATAAGAGAACATTACCTAAGTGCTGTGTGTAGTCTCATTTGCACCCTGATCCAAATAAGCTCCTGAAAAACGACAGTAACCAATGTTTATGCTGTTTATGACATGCTCGAAATGAGAACACTGCATTTTTATTTGTGTGATTATGATGTTGTAGTTAGGCTTTTTAAAAGTCCTTCTTTTAAGGGCCAGGGATTTAGTTCTGGTTCCACCACCTGCCTCGAAAGCACAAGGTCCTGAGTTTGATCCCCAGTACCAAAAAAAGTCCTTCTTTTAGAAAGACATACTGAAATATTTACAGATGAAATAATATGCCTAGAATTTGCCTCAGAATAATACAAGAAGGAAAAAAGAAAGTATAGATGACATAAGATTGGCTGCAAATTGATCACTGTTGAAGCCAAGTAATGTACATGTAGGCAGCATGAGACAGTGCTGTGCACCTCTATTTGGTTTAATGTCCCATGACAAAAATGAAATCAAAAGGCCCTGATTTGAAAAAAACCTAGAGATTCTGTTAGTGATTGGGCATTTAAAAGCTTCTGGAAATGAAGATAATCTTTATGCCCTCACATTAGGCCAGCGTTTTTCTGCCTACATGCAAAAATACTCTTTTGCCTATAAAACTAAAAGTAGAGGCTATTAATGTCAGGGAAGAAATGCCAGTTCAAACCCTCGGACTGAACTAGCCTTAAAAGTTCTT